GATGGAGGATGGTGATGGAGATGGAGGATGGTGATGGAGATGGAGGATGGTGATGGAGATGGAAGATGGTGATGTAGATGGAGAATGGAGGTGGGTGATGTGGATGGAGGAGGGTGATATAGATGGAGGATGGTGACGAGGGACAGAGATGAGGAGACAAAAGGGGTCATATGGAAGGGAATGGTGGCACCTTGGTAAGGAGGTAAAACTTTACAATGAGGAATTTCAGAGTCATTAGGAATTTCTGAGGCATGGCGAGGTGTCTTTAATTACAGCAAGCACAGAAAACTGAGTGGTGAAAACGGAAGACTCTCGTGGGACTCAGCCGTGCGTGTTTGGGCTCCGATTTCCCCTCTTACTGAGTCTAAATGTTACCTTCTCTGGAATTAGTCTTATTTTCCTATGGCTAATTAGATGAGCTGCTGGGGGTTGAAAAGCCAATGAGATAATGTGTGTGGAAGCACTTGGCCACGCATAACAAGCTGCAGAAGAAATCGCCCACACAGGAGGGTTTGCACTGTCAACTCCGCTAAAATGAACTAATCTATTTAATTTCTGGGGCTGCCTCTTCCTTTGTACACAAAAGCCTGATTTACCTCTTTATTTTAGGAGCCTTTCGGAGGTGCTTCTGTTGAACAAAACAGGAGCCAAGGAAGATAAGACAGCGTGTTCAGCCTCCTGGAAGTGTAACTGCTTTGGAAACAGCCACGGTTATGGTTCCAAGGACAGCAAAGAGCAAGGACTCACAGCACAGGGAGGAAGCGGCGACCCTCCCCTTGTTTCTGTGCCATGTTTCACACGGTCAGTAGTGCAAATGTTTGTGAACTCTGTTTCACGCAACTGGATCCTAAAGCATATAAGCTCATAGTACCTTACTGTCCATGCGTGGGAGAGACGTGTGAGCAAGGCAAGGGAAAGTCGTGAGGACAATCTGTGTCTGGCGAGACGAGTCAGCGGGTAAAGGCACTTGCTGCCGAGCCTGACACCCGGGCTTGGTCCCCCGGACCCACATGGTGGTGGAGAGAGATGACACACCCAAGTATCCTCTGACCTTCACACTCTAGCTGTGGAGAGGCCCCTTCTGCCTTTGCAACAAATGAATTAACATGTAATTAAGAAAAAGGAAACCCTTCTTCTGTTTCCCTGAAGTGAGGTTCTGATCCGGCTGAGTTCATCAGCTACAGGAGAGTATTCACAGGTACTGACTGAGATTAGGGAAAGGGTAGTGCTGTCAACAGCAGACTTTACTGTTCAAAACACGAAACATGGCCCCGGCATGGGCAAATGCTTCCAACTCAAAGCCCTTCTAGAGAGTAAGAGTAGATCAATCTGAACTGATGGGAAATATCAATGAGAAATACTGTGCCTTCCCAACAGCAAAGCCGCTCTTCGGTATGAAAAAATGTGGGAAGTACGACAAAATAAAATGTACCCCTTAGGCCACACTGAAGGGCTAGTGTAAGATCTTTGTTGACAAACCAGACCTGGAGCAAGCCAGGCAACCTCAATCTAACACTAGCCTAGGAAAATAGCAGTGAGCTTCTGGCCTCCTGATGAGAAGGGCAGGGCCCCATGTACAAAGCAGGCCCAGGAGAGAGCGGAATTTCAGAAGTTAGCAATGCCACAAACTGAAATTTGACCCCCAGGAGACGGACTTCCTCAAAGCTGTTTCTGAAACTTTCAAATTTTTAATTGATGGCTTGTGGTTTGTTTTAATCTACCCTCTTCGTACTGGGTTTTAGTTTCATTGCAGTTTGGCTTGAGAGCAAGGTCTATCATAACACTGACTTTTAACTCTGGTTTACTAACCAGTACGATGGCAGAGACCATGGCAATCGCTGTAAATGCTTAAAAGTATGTGTTACCTGTTATGTGCTGAGTTCTAGAACACACACACACACACACACACACACACACACACACACACACACACGTGACATTTTGTCACTGAGCTACCAGTTACTGAGAAAGGTAACTCAGACTCACTCACTGAAGTGGGTCTGTCTGTTTCCCTCACCCTTGTTTGTTCCGAGGCAAATGTAAGCCTGTCATTACCCCCTTTATGTGAAGCTAATGTTACATAATAAACTTATGTCATCCCCAGTAAGATTTCCTGTTTAAAATCTTACTTGTCAATGTTTTACTTTAACCTTTTCCAGCTTTTTATTAGCTTTCGGTTAATGTGTCTCATTCCAGTTTACTCTCAGTTATTTTAGTGTGTGTGTAAAATATTTTTATAAACACAACATAGTTGTTTTGGGTGAGTTATTTTATTATTACCTCTGGATTTCATACTTTCTCATGCCCTTGCTTTGCTAGCTTCTTCTCACATGCTTTCCTGGGATCTATTCATTTTTTTCTCATAATTATTTCGTATGTATGGGTGTCCCCTCAGCATGCCGTACAACAGATCTGTGCGGTGCTCATGGAAACCGGAAGAGGGCGTCAGAGACCCTAGAATTAGTGCTACAGGTAGCTGTGAGGTTCTGTGTGGTGCCGGGGATGGGACTCAGGTCTCCAGCAGCAGCCAGTGCCCTCAGCCACCGTGAGCCGCCAGTCCAGCCCAAAACTGACCTATTTTAATTTTCATCTCCTCCTGCTGCTTTGGCCATTTCCGTGTTATTTCTCATATTTCTTCTTATTGTTTAAAATAAATTTAAATTTTTATTATCCACGTTCTGTTCTTTTTCAGTAACAGAAGGAATATTGAAAGCTTCACTTCCAATCCTGTCTCCTACACGACAACACCGTCCTTTCACCTTGCTCCTACCCTACTCACGAGGCTATGGTGGGTATTAGCACCACCTGGAGTCACGTGGGAAGGGATTCCCAATGAAGGACTGTCCTCAGCAGGGTATCTGTGAGTGTGTCAGCGGAGGTGGTAGTAATTAAGATGTTGTTTTGGGAAGTCCTAGCTCCTGCAGGCAGCACCTTCCCTAGGCTGAACTGTTCACAAGTGGAGAATGGTGCTGAGCATTAGCAAGCAGGTAGCGTGCTGCAGGCTTTCCCTCCGCTCCCAGCTGTGGGTGTAGCATGCTGCACGCTTTCCCTCCGCTCCGTGGGTGTAGCGTGCTGCACGCTTCCCCTCCGCTCCGTGGGTGTAGCGTGCTGCACGCTTTCCCTCCGCTCCGTGGGTGTAGCGTGCTGCACGCTTTCCCTCCGCTCCGTGGGTGTAGCGTGCTGCAGGCTTTCCCTCCGCTCCCAGCTGTGGGTGTAGCGTGCTGCAGGCTTCCCCTCCGCTCCCAGCTGCGGATGTGAAGTGACTGCCATCTCAGGCTCCTGCCACTGTGACCACCCCACCGTGGAGAACTACAACCTGAAATTGTGACAGGAAATGAACCCTCTCTCCCTTCAGTTGCTTTTCGCCACAGGGGCGTGAGTGAAGCTGGGCAGAGACTGGCTGCTCCTCTGCAGCCATTCCCCCAAATCTGGCTAAGGCCCGTTGTTTTTATTTTTTATTTTTCCTGAAGTAAGAGGCCATTCGCAATAGACTCTCACTTTTGCTTGAAATTCAAATTTCACCCTCGATTTATATAATAATTAGGCTCCCTCCATGGATTCCTGCGCAGTCCCACAGTGACTCTCGGGCAGGGCCACCGCAGAGCCTCACGTTAACTAGGCTCCTGCTATCCCTTCGCTTTTCTTGGGTGTTTGTGTCGGTGTCACATGGGGTTTTGAGCTTGCATGGGAGTCACACTGACCTCCCGAGACAATGGGCAAGTCTCCTGGCATACTGAGTTTTACACTCTCACTAAAAGAACAGTAAATATTCCCACCTCACAGCTTGGCAGGGTACGGCCAGAAACGCCGTATCCTGGTGCCGTATCCTGG